GGGGGGGGGGGGAGAAGGAGTCGGCCTGGGCCGGGCCCTGGCCTAAGAATAGGACGGACGCTGCCCGGTGTCGTTTGGAGGCCCAGAAGTGGACGTACTTCGTTCCGGACACCGGCTTCTTTCAGGGGCACGGACCTGCTGGTGAGCAAGCGAGTGAGGGAGACGAAGAGACCTCCGTTTCTTTCTCCTAGGCTAGGACCCGGCCGCTGAGCGGAGTTGACATTTCGAGATTGGGGCTCGGGCCGCCCCTCCTCCGGGACCCTCCCCTCGGGACCGAGCCGCTCGCCACTGGCGGTTGGGGCCGGCTCGAGGAGCGGTGGGTACGGCTCCTGAAGGCTTTACCCCCACTTTTCCTCCCGTCCCTACCCCTCCCCGTTTCCCCTCCTTGCCCCTCCCTTCCCCTCCCCGCCGCCCCTCCATATTTCACCCCTCCCTCCACTTCCGTTCCCGCGTAGCTGGGGAGGGCGGGAAGGCCGCGCCCGCCTTTGACGGGGGAAGTCGGACTGGGGCCCTTGGCCGAGGTTCTCGGGCTGTCCAAAGAAGGCGTGGGTGGGCGGGTGGGTGGCTCCAGGCCCTTGGGTCTGCCTTCTTAAACCTTGTGACAACTAAGGTAAATGGAGTCAAAGAACTTTTGTTAAAAAATACGATCAAAGGGGACTCTCCACTCCTCCCATACCCAATGTGCTGCCTGTGGCTTGTGTGGTGCCTGTTGGTGTGTGTCTGGCAAGGGCGAGTGAATGGGAAAGAATTAAGGCCAAAGAGCTTCCGGAAGAGGAAATTAGTGGGTAATTCTTTCCAACCTTCTCTTGCCCTAGTCAGCCTTCCCAGCGTATCTGTAACACCTAAACGCCAGTAGACTCTCCCTTTCATTATCTTAACTGCTCAATACAATTAAATTTTGTGGGGGCCGTGGGTTGAGGGAGGAAAATAGTGATTGCTGAAACTAAGCAATACGCTTTTCCACCTCCAAAAACAACCCGCCAAACCGTTGTAACAAAATCTTTCAGATTTTAATAATTCAATACTTTTCATCCAAACATAATTGTCATTACTTCTGTCACAACTAAACCTCGATAGTTAATAACTTCGAAATTTACTCTTGATAACATTGTACAGTGGATATGCTTCTCTTTTTGTTCCAGTACCATTTGTTCTAGCCAGTTCAAGAGAATACTGTTACCGACGGCCATCTTAGAATTATAACATTTTACAGAATTGGAAAGGATCTTTGACCAACCCTTTTGTTTTAAAAGCAGAAACCGAGGTTCTGGATTCCAATGCTTGCCTAAGGCTGCCAGATTACTTAGATGAGAACCCACTTTCAGACCTCCAGGCCACCACTCTTCGGCTATTGCTTCATATAGCCTCCAAGCAGAAAATATTAAGTGCATTTGGTTTACCATTACTAAAAAACTGTACTACTCTGTATTGAACATGCATGGGAAACTAGTGCTTGACTTTTATTCTTTCTGCCATTTAAGAAGTACAAATGGCTGGGGCTCCGAAGGTGGCTCACTGGTAGACTGTTTGCCTTCCAGGCATGAGGCCCTGGGTTCGATTCCTCAGCACCACATAAGCAGAAGCCAAACGTGGTGCTGTGGCTCAAGCAGTAGAGCACTAGCCTTGAGCTGAAGAGCTGAGGGACAGCACCCAAGCCGACAGTTCAGGCCCCATACCGACAGAGGGGGAAAAAGTTCAAATGGATTAAAAAGATTTATTTTTATTTTTTGGTCGGTCGTGGGCCTTGAACTCTGGGCCTGAGCACTGTCCCTCTGCTCTTCAGCTCAAGGCTAGCACTCTACCACTTGAGCTACAGCACCACTTCTAGTTTCCTGGCGGTTTATTGGAGATAAGAGTTTCACGGACTTTCCTGCTTGGGCTGGCTTTGAACCGCGATTCTCAGATCTCAGCCTCCTGAGTAGCTAGGATTACAGGCGTGCGGCTAAAAAGATTTATATCCACAAACACAGAGACATATGCCTATGTAGTCCTTCCATTAGCGCAAATGATTTCTTATAAAATACACGGGGAAGAATACTAGCGGAGACTTACAGAAGAGCAAGTGGATGAAAATCATTTTACTTTGAATTTCAAATGAGGTGTGCTGTGTGTTTTTTTTAACCATCAACAAGTATTAGTTTTATAATGAAAAACAATTTATTTTGGCATTATTTGTTGGTGCCAGTTCTAGACTTTGAACTCAGTCAGGGCCTGGAAACTCCCTGAGCTTTTCTGCTCAAGGCTAGTGCTCTACCACTTGAGCCACACCTACACTTCCGGTTTTTAGATATGAGCCTCACAGACTTTTCTACCCAAGCTGAGTTTGAATCAAGATCTTCACATCTCAGCCTCCTGAGTAGCCAGCCTTACAGATGTGAGCCATCTCTTTTAAAATGAACATACATACATATGTATCAACATAAGTAAGTATGATTCATTGGTATGTACATACATTCACATATAAATCACTGACTTGTGCTTTCACCTGACAATAGGCTTAATTCTCATATTCCTCGGGAGATTTATTCTGTTGTTCTTAATGTAAGATGGTAAAAATGTTAGTCTATTTTTAGAAAATAGGCTGTTTCTTGCTTATTGAATAATGTAGAAAAATATATGCAAAATAACATCTGTCAGTGAAAGAAGTATGGATTATAGAATCTTTGTAGATAAGAATTATTTTTTCTTGGATGTACTGTGATTTGAATTAAGGGCCTAGTGCTTGCTAGGCTGGCATGTATGACTTGAGCCATACCTCCAGCCCTTTTTCCTACTTTTTTGGGTCAGTCATGGGGCTTGAACTGTCGGCCTGGGTGCTGTCCCTGAGCTCTTCAGCTCAAGGCTAGTGCTCTACCACTTGAGCCACAGCGCCACTTCCGGCCTTTTCTGTTTATGTGGTGCTGAGGAACCGAACCCATGGCCTCATGCATGCGAGGCAAGCACTCTACTACTGAGCCACCTTCCAAGCCCCTCTAGTTACTTTTTTATGTGCCATTCCTTGGGCTTAAACTCAGGGAAGGGCGCTGTCCCTCAGCTAGTGTTCTACCACTTTGAAACAGTTCTACTTCTGGCTTTTTGTTGGTTAACTGGAGATGAGAATATCATGGATTTTTCTGCCTGGGTTGGCTTTGAGCCAGATCCTCAGATCTTAGCCTCCTGAGTTGCTAGAATTATAGATGCAAGTCATTGATGTCCAGCTTTTTGCTGGTTACTTTTAGAGATGGAATCTAGTTATTTTTTCTGCTCCCACTGGTTTTAAACTTTGGTTCTCAAGATCTCATTGTCTTTAGTAGCTAGGACTACAGGTGTAAGCCATTGGTACTTGGTGTTAACATATTTTTTATTTAATTGTTTTAATTTTATTTTGTGCCAGTGTTGAGGTTTGAACTCAGGACCTGAGCACTGTCCCTGAGCTTTTGTGATCAAGGGTAGCCCTCTACCACTTCAGCCACAGCTCTCTTACCACTTTTTGGTGATTAATTGGGCATAAGAGTCTCATGGACTTTCTTCCCTGCGCTGGCATTCAAGCATGATCCTCAGATCTCAGCCTCCTAAGTAGCTAGGATTATAGGCATGAGCCTCTAGCAGGCTGGCTTTAAATGATTTTTAAAAGGTTAAAGGGTTAAGAATTTAGCTCGGTAGCACAGTGCTTACCTGTTATGTACAAGGCCTGGATTTAATTCCTAGCACTGGAAAAAATGTTAATACTGGTAAGGTCCCCAGTGATTAGGAGTTCTTTTATCTTTCTTTTGTTTGTAAGTAGGCTAATTATGCATTCAGTGTTTCCAGGTAACCTAACAAAGTAATGCTAAAAGTTAAGCCCATTTCACTGAGCAAGAAATATTGTAATTATTTTACTAGTAATTTGTTTAGTACTTGAAATGGTTTATTAACCTAAATACTTTCCATACATTTCACTGTAAACATTGTTTTCTTTATAGTAAGTAACTGGAGATCCCAAAGTAGTAAGATTTCACTATTTTTAATTTTTTTTTTTGGTTGGTAGTGGGGCTTGAACTCTGGGCTTGGGTGTTGTCCCCACGCTCTTCAGCTCAAGGCCAGTGCCCTACCGCTTGAGCCACAGCGCCACTTCCAGTTTTTTCTAGTGGTTTATTGGAGATAAGAGCCTCATGGAGTTTCCTGCCAGGGCTGGCTTTGAACCACAATTCTCAGATCTTAGCCTCCTGAGTAGCTAGGATTATAGGCGTGAGCCACCAGCACCTGGCTATTTTTAATTAAAGTCTGGTAACAAACTACAAAAAGGTATGGTATATAAAATAGACATCTGGGGGCTGGGAAGGTGGCTCAGTGGTAGAGCGCTTGCCTTGCATGCATGAGGCCCTGAGTTCGATTCCTCAGCACCACATAAGCAGAAAAAAAGCCGGAAGTGGTGCTGTAGCTCAAGGGGTAGAGCGCTAGCCTTGAGCTGAAGAGCTGAGGGACAGCGCCCAGGCCCAGAGTTCAGGCCCACAACTGGATCAAAAAAAACCCAAAATCTGTGGAGCACCCACTGTGTGCTTGGCATGGTACTGGTAGGGTTGCAGAGGTGAATGTGTTGCTGGGCATGGTGATACATATCTGTCATCCTAATAACCTGGGAGGGTAAGGCCAGAAGGATCAAGGGTTTCGGCCAGCTTGGCACTTGTGGCTCATGCTGGTAATCCTAGCTACTCAGGAGGTTGAGATCTGAGGATCGTGGTTCAAAGCCAGCCTGGACAGGAAAGTCTGAGAGATTAAATGTACAACAAAAAGCCAGAAGTAAAGCTATGGCTCAAGTGGTAGAGTGCCAGACTTGAACATAAAAGTTCAGTGTCAGGGCCCAGGCTCTAAGTTCAAGCCCCAGGACCAGCACAAAAGAAAGCCAAAAAAAGTGTGTTTGGGCCAGCCCAGTCTACAAAGTGAGACACTGTCTCAAAAAAACAAAGATACCAGTGATAAAAGAGATGCCCATGTTATTTTGAGGCTGAAAGATTATCATAAGCTGTCAATTCTTATATTTTATCTGACTGGGTAATCTGATCATAGTATTATAACACATAATTTTAGAACTATTTAAGGTCATTGTGTGAGGAGATTTTAGGACACAGAAGCAGTAGTAGTAAACTGAAAAATAAATGAATACTGAACTTAATAAATACCAT